AACACATTTGGGACTAACAGGGTTTACTAGAATCCCACCACTCCACCACAGAGTCACCGCAGTAGACGTTAGATGAGCGCTGTCGCTATGCGGCACTTGTATTAGTTTAATACAGAGTATTGTGATACATAGTAAGTTCCAAGATAGCGGAGAAAGGTTCGTGTTGAGAATAAACCCAGTTTGGAAGTTCTAGTCTCTGAAAACGCACCAGCAAACCGCCCTGAGTGATTCACTCAGGGGTTCCCTGAATTTCCTCCACAGAAAACCATAGCGACGCGTTGTAACCCTATCCTGGGTTTGGGTTACATTATTGTATTTATGCTCCCATATTAAACGTCCTATTTTGAAGCACGCCAGTCGACGTACTTTCGAGCCACGGCAATTTTTTGGCAAAAATGGGAATTGCCATTAATCAGTTCAGGTTCAACAGATTTTGCTCATTTTTGGTATGTGAATGAATAAGGGCTAGGGGTTTTGATATTTGAAAAAAAATTATGCAAATTAGGTAGGGTTTGGCAATTATATAGCATATTATATAGACACAAACAGTCTGTGGTGTCACACTCGTCTGGTTCGTTTTACAAGATTTCATTGACAATATCTTTAATGCAAAATTGGTATTTCCTCTCCACCCTGCCGATAAAACGTCTATATTACTAATTAGAGTGAAGATGTACAAAACATGTCGGAACGCAGCATAACCTATTTATTTAAAACGCCATCGCTACAAAGCGGGTATAGCGCCATCTACGCTTTATAAATTATTATTGCGATATACAGATGGCAATCGTTTCTATAATGTACGTAGATGGTTGCTCAATTAAAATTGACTTCTTCTTACTCACTCATTTGTGTCCTTTTTTGTGGTGAGCTACAGTGTCATTGACACTTTCATTATATGAGGTATGTTTAAGGTTAGGGTTAGGGTACACTTCTGTAGTACAAGTCTGATACACTTTGTGTATACATATATGTACCTCGGGTACATATCTGTAGTACCTGATACGACAACGACCCCTTGAGCCCAAGTGCCTGTGCATGGGGGTACCAAGGACTGGGGAGGAGAAAAACGAAAGTAAAACCTTTCCCAGAAGCTCCCCCGACATTCATAGAGCTTGAAATATATTATTTGACCAACTCTATGTTCCATGTATGCTGTTAATGGAATAATGGCAATGATTATTTTTATATACCATTTTGTTACTCACTGCTAGTAAATAAATGGACCACAAACTTTTGCGCAGGACCACCGACTTTCTGAAGTACGTACCTCCTTCTACCTACTCTATCCTACTCTATCCTACTGTGTACTTGTGCACAATGGCGTGCACGCTATAGGAATGTGTGTTGCAGTGGTGTATTGGACGGTATTGAAGTGAATTTATTAGGTGCTATGAATACTGCCAGGTCTAGTACTGACAAGTTGTAGGCTTATTAACTATCATTTTATTAGCTCATCTGACATAGTCAGATGCAGCTTGTAGAATCGCATGATCGTCCGTGCGTCCGTCCGTCCGTCAACAGTTGGGCACAAATCTTAACCGCTCGACGTACGGTCACGATATTCGGCACATTGGGGGGATCGTCAAAACGAGTTGGGCTGTCGAAGCTGGGGGGTCAAAGGTCAAAGGTCAAGAGGTGTAAAAGAAGGGGGAACATTCACTCCTTAACTTAAGGTATAAGGAGGAAATGCAGAATTGCGGCACAAATCTAAACGGCTCGACCTAGGCTCGTGAAGTCGGTGTATAGCATCATGGTAGGAAAGCCATCACTGTGCCGAAATTGGAGGTCACAGGTCAAGGTCAATGGGGTACAGGGCAGATTTTAGACATTTTCTGAGGACATGGTCTGACGGAGCGATTGAAAAACTTCTTTGTTTCAGCGGTGACTAGCATTTTATGGCTTTATTGAAAGGACGCATGAAATGTACTTTCCGCTGACATGGCGAAGAGTAAGTGTCGATAACCTTTTGACCGCTCAAGAGGAGGTAAACATGGATTTGTTGACTGTTAACAAAGGACTACAACTGCTTTTGCTATTAGAGCCCCCTCCCCTCTCCCATCCCCCACCCCTTCCCCCACCCTTCCCACCCCCTCCCCACCCTCCCCACCACCACCACTACGCTCGCGCTCGACGCCATATCCTTGATAACATGTTAATATACGAAGTCATTAAAGTTACACAGCTGTATCTTTACTACTGTACTACCAGTAGGTATAGCCTATCATAGATTTTATATCTGTATTAGTAGTATCCTAGATATATGCTCTGAGCGTGAACGCATTGGCAGGAGGGCGCACTTGATTCGGTTGCCAGTGAGTTTATCAGAAGAATACCTGGCTACAGTACACGTCAGTTGAGCGCTGTCGCTCTGCGGCACTTGTTATTGAAACGGCCCAAGTGCCTGTACCCCCATGCATAGATCAATGCTGCTGCACATCTGCAAAGTTACAAGTGCCTATAGAATCTTGAAGTATATATATACAGTTTACATTGCTTCTACTAAGTTCTAGATAGCTAACTGAATTAAAATAGTCCACTTTCTACGTAAAGAAAAGTGACGAATTCAATTAACAGCTTTGATTATGTGTGTGTCAGGTGTCACTGTAAAGTAAGTAAAAACATGTTAGGTACAGACACAATAAATTGGCGCGTACCTATCAGCTATCTTCCACATGGCCGTCTCATGCTCAACAGAATGGTTAAATATTAAATAAATACACGATAAGAGTTGAAATTCTTTTGACTAAAATTGTACGGGGTAAGTAGAGCACAATGGGCCCTATTGATAGGAGTCAGGAGGTAAATTATTCCATTCAGATGCTGCCGCACACCGAAAAGATTTTCGTAGCATTTCAGTGCGTGCACGGGGCGGATACAAAATCTGGAGCTCACTTCATGTTTAAAAGTAAAAAAAAACGTCAAGATAAGTAGGTGCCTTCTTACATAAAATTTTGTAAGTTAAAAGAGATCGATGGTAATAAAAACGTTGGCGAACAGTCATAAAACCTAGCTGCGAAAAGTTTTCTTCAGTGCGGGCGTCTGAAAGTCCATGAATGTTAAACTTGTCGTCCGGCCGTGCCCTCACTCCCCACGATAACCCCTGCAACATATGAACTTATTGTTATGCGGTCATAAAAACACTGGGCTACGCTACGTGCCGCAATCGATTTCTTAGCCAGTCACGAGGTTTTGTTCGTGTGGCGAATCATGCTTGGAGGATGTTTCGGATACCCTGTCTCAGGGGTAGAAATGAACTTTTGAACAAGGGAGTCCAACGGACTCCCTACCCTCAAAAAGAGGAAGTCCGCAGTCTGAGGTTCAAAATTAAAGATATTAACAATAACGCATGTGCTTATTAGCTCACCTTGACATCGTCAAGCTTGGCTATTGCCATGGGTCGTCGTCCGTCGTCCGTCCGTCCGTCCGTCCGTCAACATTTCGCTTCGGTCAACGATAACTCAGGAACTGTTTTACCCACATGTTTGAAATTGGGTATAGTTGTTACTGCTATGCTCCCATATGGAACGTCCTATTTTGGAGCACGCCAGTCGACGTACTTTCGAGCCACGGCAATTTTTTGGCAAAAATGGGAATTGCCATTAATCAGTTCAGGTTCAACGGATTTTGCTCATTTTTGGTATGTGAATGAATAAGGGCTAGGGGTTTTGATATAAAAAAAAAAAATGCAAATTAGATAGGTTTATGCAATTTATGCAAAAAACGCAGATAACAAACAGTCTGTGGTGTCACACTCGTCTGGTTCGTTTTACAAGATTTCATTGACAATATCTTTAATGCAAAATTGGTATTTCCTCTCCACCCTGCCGATAAAACGTCTATATTAAAGTTTTACAAAACATGTCGGAATGCAGCATAACCTATTTATTTCGAATGCCATCGCTACAAAGCGGGTATAGCGCCATCTACTGTCACAAATTGTGATTCATTTTGGTTTATAAATTATTATTGCGATATACAGATGGCAACCGTGTGCTACCGCCTAGAAAAACTCATACGAAGTAAAGACTTCCATGCAACCAATTAACCTTTGACAAAAGTTGTGTTATGGGCAGGGAAACACCATTGTCACGTGGTACATAGCAGCTACGTGGAATAAGCGTATCCTCTCAATCTTACACGTACGTTACACATCGGGAGCTCCGCTTTTAGGCAGTGCCTAAATTAATCTGAATATTATAAAAACGTTATTTGTGGTGAGCTACAGTGTCAGTGACACTTTCATTTTTAAGATTCATGCAGTTGCACATCTGCCAAATTTTCTTTGGACATTTGCTGAACAAATACAGTAATTCCGTGAGGCCGTGCTCCGGAACGAACTAGTTAGTTACTTAGTATGGCTGAATTTTCAGCGAGTCACACGTGACGGACTCCTGCATATGGCAAATCAGGGAGTTCGACAGTAAATCAGGGAGTATTTGACTCCGGACTCCCGTTAATTTCGCACCCTGGTATCTGACAGCAGGCATCCTGTGTACGTGGCATATGCTCTGTAAACCAAACTTGGCTGAATGCTATGTAGAGTTGGAAGATTCAACTCCAATTGGTACCACCCTCTCCCGTGCCCTCCACAAGCTGTCCACATACATGCGTTCAGAAATTTCTGGGGAGAACCTTGCATAATATTAGTATTCTTCAATTTCTTGCCCTCTGCTAGGTAATAAAGCCACTTAGCTCCATGCCAAGCTCTCTTAAGTTTTAAGACATAAAATAAGGTGATGCACTATGGTGATAAATTGATTATCTAATGATAACCGATTGTCTATTGGTTGGGTGTAACCAATAATCAATTGTAAAATTTAGCTGATTCCCATCACTACTTTTTACTATAGCCATTTAATAATTTATGAATGTGGTTATCAATCCCCTATATTTGTTAAAAAAACTTTGAATTTCAGGCAGAAAAATTGCTATTGATGCATCAATGAGCATCTACCAATTTTTGATAGCAGTTAGACAGGATGGAAGTGCATTAACGAATGATGCTGGAGAAACCACGAGGTATGAATCAGAAACGTATTTGTTAACTTTATACATAACCTTCAGTCCAAAGTCAAGTGTGGGTCAATTGAATTGTGTTTGTGCGTGTGCGTGTGCGTGTGCGTGTGTGTGTGCGTGCACATTGAGTGTATGTGGCATATGGAAACATTGTCACATTGTGTATGAGTAATTTTGAGGAGCTGGCAAAGGTAGAATACCTACTCTTCACAATATCCTGTAATCAAACTAGTTATATGTTGATTGTGATATAATACTGTTGTTATTATTGCACATCATGCCTAGATGTTTTCTAATTCAGTGGTTGACAATTTTTGTCAGAATATATTTTAAAGATTGGTTCATATGTTTGAGAGTTGTCCTGTGCTAATATATTCATTTATTTAATTATAATAAAATTTCACCTTTTACCAAATTTCTTTTGCCTAAAAAACATGCAGCATTTTCTCACTATCGATTTTGTCAATGTATGTGCAGCATGAAAAAGACATGATAGCTATTATTTAAAATGGTAAAAGATGGTAATATAGATTCATTGTAAATAGACCAATTACTTGCCAAGTTAGTAATTGAATATTTAAATGATCTAAATTTGAATTGTTTATGTACGACCCTTTTATACATGAAGACCAACTAGGAGAAGCCGTATCACGACTATGCCTCATTCCTGTAATCTAGCTATAGATGGTTTTTGAAGGTGCCAATTTGTTGTCATGCCAAACAGTCAACCCAGTAAGGTCATTTACAAATTATCAATCAGTAATCAGTAAATCAGTATACATAGATTCATAGCTTTAGATTACTAACATAACTAGAAAATATCTATATATGAGTATCAGACCGTTTTTAGCTCACCTTGACATCGTCAAGTTGAGCTATTGCCATGGGTCGTCGTCCGTCGTACGTCCATCCGTCCGTCCGTCCGTCCGTCCATCAACATTTGGTTTCGGTCAACGATAACTCAGGAACCGTTTGACCCACATGTTTGAAATTGGGTGTAGTTGTTACTGCTATGCTCCCATATGGAACGTCCTATTTTGAAGCACGCCAGTCAACGTACTTTCGAGCCACGGCAATTTTTTGGCAAAAATGGGAATTGCCATTAGTCAGTTCGGGTTCAATGGATTTTGCTCATTTTTGGTATGTGAATTAATAAGGGCTAGGGGTTTTGATATTTAAAAAAAAATTATGCAAATTAGGTAGGGTTTGGCAATTATATAGCATATTATATAAACACAAACAGTCTGTGGTGTCACACTCGTCTGGTTCGTTTTACAAGATTTCATTGACAATATCTTTAATGCAAAATTGGTATTTCCTCTCCACTCTGCCAATAAAACGTCTATATTAGAGTAAAGATTTACAAAACATGTCGGAACGCAGCATAACCTATTTATTTCAAGCGCCATCGCTACAAAGCGGGTATAGCGCCATCTACGGTCACAAATTCTGATTCATTTTGGTTTATAAATTATTGCGATATACAGATGGCAATCGTTTCTATAATGTACGTCGATGGTTGCTCAATTAAAACTGACTTCTTCTTACTCACTCATTTGTGTCCTTTTTTGTGGTGAGCTACAGTGTCATTGACACTTTCATTGTTTGTATTAAGCATACTGCAGAGATGCCAACCACTACGATTTATCCGTATTTTATACGAATTTCGTTTGCATTTTGACCACTACGACCAGATTGCATACAACTACGATTTTTATTACGATCGGAAAAAAATCATTTTTATGATATTTCAAGTCTTTTATTTCAGTGTTACATTGATATAACATGATTAAAAATAACTACATGTATTTAGCAGCAAATATCAGTGTGAACTTATTATCATTTTGGGTCCCAGGATGGAGGAAATTGCATCTCGGAATCAAAAGTTTTTCAGCGGCATGCCCCGAACCCCCCTAACATACTTGGGTCACTGCGTGACCCTCGGACTACAGATTTCAGATATCCTCACTACAGTTTGCTCAGAAAAGTGTTGGCATCTCTGATACTGGTATTAGGACGATTACACCCTGGACAATTATCTCCAGATGAGTACCACCTGGATAATTCCTACCGAATAGTTTCTATTCCTCTTGGAGAGTTACCTCCGGGATGCCATTTACCCCCCCCCTCCGGGGGCAGTAACTTCACCGAATTGCTCACAATAATCTCAAAAATAACTAAAACTTAACTCGTATGAGGTATTGTATGGGGACTGAGTTACATGGGCGTGTTTGCCTGGGGGGTATTTGTTCTAGAACCCAGCTTACTATACTTATAATTATACTTTACCTTATAATTTACATAGGGCTTGTTTTTTTAATATAACATGAATGTTGTTGTTTTATTCATAGCCACTTGATGGGATTATTTTATCGCACTATCCGTATGATGGAGAATGGCATCAAGCCAGTCTATGTTTTTGATGGGAAACCACCAACACTCAAGGGAGGAGAGGTGAATACAAGCGGCCATATTTCAGTGTTTTCTGAATTTTACGGGTCACATCGTCTTTGCATTTGTATCTTGGATTAAAAAATGTACTTTAATTATAGTATGGTAACTGCATGATTATAATAGACTGTTTAAGACATCTATTTTTGTTGATAAACTAATCGGAAGTTGTATGGATTATTTTTAAAAGCTTGCAAAACGACAAGAAAAGAGAGCAGAGGCGCAGAAAGCCTTGGAAAAAGCCACAGAAGATGGTTAGTTAAAGTATTCACATATTTAGAAATGTTTCAATTTTGAAAGTAAACTGCATGAATGATTACAAGGTTACATAATACATGAGCATTTTGTTATTTTCTATCTTATTATGCATTGGTGCTAAATGTCTTAATTACTAATGTAGAAAGAATTAATCTTTGGTCTTATTTTTTCGTATTATACAATTTCTTATGCGTGTTTCCTTTCTTGCTTAAAGTATGGACATTGTGTACGTTATGTATGTTTAATTATGTGATTGTAGGTGATAATGCCAACATTGATAAGTTCTCTAAAAGAACAGTAAGGGTCACTAGAGTACACAATGAGGAGTGCAAGCAGTTGCTGGATCTGATGGGAGTTCCGTATGTCAATGTAAGCCATTCATAATTTTAATATGACAATTAAAATTAGTTCATTATATTATTATTATTATTATTATATATATATATATATATATAATATATCTATACATATATATTATATACTGACGTAACTTTACACGTGGTAAATCGAGGTAAAAAAGCCAATCTCAGTTGTGTGCTCAGTGTGTTATTTATTGTGTGACCCATACCAAAATCTTAGAGAAGTTCTAATCCATCATAGTTCAAGGCAACATGTTGTTTACAGAAATGTAATACATTCTTATTCATTCAATTGGTTTGTGGGGCAATAACATTTATTGTGTTCATCACCAGACGTTAGATCAGGAGTCAGATATTAGACAGATTTGTGATCTGTCTGTTATTTAACCATTGATCAGATACATGCCAATGTTTTTGAAGCAATAATTTATCATTTAATTAGTTGAATTAAATAATTAGTAATTCTTCAGTTTGTATAATGTTCAGTGCGCAAATGGTCAGGGTTCTGTAAAATTGCATCGTACACATGCCTGTACTGTAGTATAACTTAATTGCTTTTACTTTCTCCTATTCTGCTTTGCAAATGTATTATTGCAATGTATGTTGTCAGGCCCCATGTGAGGCAGAAGCTCAGTGTGCAGAGCTCGTAAAAGCAGGAAAGGTGTATGCAACAGCCACGGAAGATATGGATAGCCTGACATTTGGCTCCAATGTGGTACTCAGACATCTCACATTTAGTGAGGCTAGGTAAATGTCAAGTTCACAACGTGAATATTGTGTTTGTATAGCTCGATGCATTACATAAAGCTGCAAGAAAGACATGGAAAGTCTCTAGTCCTCAGAATTTAAATAATAATTACCAGTATATTCCATTCATAGTTTAATAAATTGTCAAGGTCCGTGTTGAATACGTTTTAAAACGTAAAAGGAGTGATGTAATTTCTTTTTCTCTATAGAAAAATGCCTATTAAGGAGTTCCACCTTAACAGTGTGTTGTCCGGGCTTGAATTGGAGCAGAACCAGGTATATGCAGTAATCCGATATCAATCTTCAATTATAATCATTCATGAAAATATTGGTAATGCGTATATTTGAGCGTTATTGGTAATATAGTTTGGAATGTAATGAACTTTTTTTTTTTTTAAGTTCATAGACCTATGCATTCTTCTTGGCTGCGACTACTGTGACAGTATTCGAGGAATTGGACCGAAACGTGCCATCGAGCTTGTCAGACAGCATAAGTCTATAGAGGAAATTCTCAAACATATTGATACAAATGTAAGCAAAAATTCAAATATGTGTTCTGCTAGTCACAGTGTGACAGTAAGGCACAACGTTTCATTCTTTAATGGAGCTTGCCACCAGATGTCTTGTATTAGTTCAGTGCATAGGTTTTTGATCTTCACATCAGGATTGCTTGGCCTTTTCCACAGGTCATGCAATGTGCACGTGATTTCTGATCAACTTCAGAATGTGGGTGAAATTGACTTACAGTACCAAGAGAAATTGCATTTGTGTTGCCCGACACTGATGAACTGTCAATGCGGCTTGATCGCTTGCAATTTAGTCAGTTTGCATCCACTTTCATGAAACTGCTGCATCTGGAAGCCTCTCAATTAATTATTAATAATTAATTAATTAATATACGCAACTCTTTTAACACTCATCGAGAAGACTTAATTGTGTGGTGCATATGTCAATATTATTTCTGTCGCGTTTGTCTTAACTTAGTAGCTGCCTGTGTGTGTGTTTGTAGCATTGCGGTTTCTGTAGATAGAATGGGATGTACCACATATTCAGTGGTCATTGAGATATGATGTGAGCAATGATGCTTCACTAGAGGCTGAATGTTATTCTGTAAGACTCGGGTGAATATAGATTTTTTCTTTTCCGATATTGTCTAATGTTGTTTGTTCTTTTTCCAGAAATATGTAGTTCCTGAGAACTGGCCTTATCAGGTATCCAATACATTTGAACTATAGTTTTCAGCGATGTGTGCATCCTATATTGCTAGAAAATAGGATTTAGTGAGAAAACAAATGTATCAATTTATCTAAGTTTTCAATGGTGTAGTTTAAAGTGAACTGCCTATGCACTCTTAACACTCAATCTTTAAAACCAGAATAATTGAAAAATAACTGGTGATAGTCAATCATAATGAATTATGAATGAAATAATAAAAAAAATTATTGATTAGCTGCTGTGCTTACGATTAGTGTGCATCCATAAATCGACTGAAAGTCTATACATATTTACAAGAGCGTATTAAAGGAATAATAGGTCTATTGATTATGCAATGTTGACGAATGCTAGAGTAACTGGCACCTTGTGTAGTTAATAAGTACATTACCTTATAGCCAAACACGTATTAGTTTGTCCAATATCACTGCTGGTTACTAAGAAATGTCTAATTGAAATCCGCAGTCCAAAAATCCGTTGGCTACAGTTTTAAACCGCTGCCGGCGAAGCGGGTGTGATACATATTTATAGTGCACCGGACATTTTCGCACGCATGCTCGGCCGTACCTAATGCTAGCGATAGTACAGTACCGTAACTGTATACGTAACAGTAGCTCTGATTGTAATGAACCACGTACGAATCATGGACGCTCGTGATAATGAAGTATAGGCTGTGTTGGGGGCCAACACTGGGGGGATCTCGGACTAACCACGGCCACAGACTAAACATGGAAAGCAGACGGCACTACGCGTATTTACGTATATTGGTCAAACGAATACACCTGTGTCCGAAATTGAAGACATGTGGGTACCCGTTCATTAGCACCCACGGTTATTTACTTGTGCCTCAATACCGAGAATACACCCAGAGATACATTCTACGAGCTCATTAGTCGTTATAAGTATCCCGGGACAAACAATTCTCTGCTCAACACCTGTAGCAACATGTGACGTCACCTAACCGTTTCGATGCTATTTTGCTTGGCAAACAATTTAGTGTTGGCGCCAGATTACCAGATTTACGGATTTCAATTAGACATTTCTTAGTAATTAGCAGTGATATTGGACAAACTAATACGCGTTTGACTATAAGGTAATGTACTTATTAACTACACAAGGTGCCAGTTACTCTAGCATTCGTTAACATTGCATAATCAATGGACCTATTATGCTTTTAAAAAGGAGAGCGTACAACGGTGAAATGCTGAAACCATGCTGCAGTATTAGTCGAATTAAGAAACTGCCCGTTTTATTTTGACGATTCTTTGCGGTATTATTGATCAGCTGTCCTACCTTGCTAATATAAAACAAACCACTTGTCCCTACGATGCCCCCACGCTGAGATAATGAGCGGTGAAAATCTGGTATTTTCGTCGAAAACCGACTCAAGATACGTAGTGGCTGCGACTGTCTCTCGTTCTGGCGATAGCTTCGGGAAACCTCGCGTATTTCCGTCATTCATTGACAATGAAATTTCTTTTCCTTCTACTATCTTTTCTCGCATTTCCAGTCATGGATGCAGCCAATTACTCCACAAAAACGTCTTGTTATTTATCGCCATGGTGATGACCCGCCCCTTACGCTGGATGTAGTAACGCTGTAGTAATAACGTATGGAGTCAGCGCTAGACAGCGGCGACCGGAAGCAAGCGAGAGATAGTCGCAGCCACTACGTATCTCGAGTCTGTTTTCGGCGAAAATACCAGATTTTCACCGCTCATTATCTCAGCGTAGGGACATCGTAGGAACAAGCGGTTGGTTTTATATTATCAAGGAAGAACAGCTGAATAATAATACAGCAAAGAATTATCAAAATAAAACTCGTAAAGTTTACTAATTTCACTGAAACTACAACATGGTTTTTGCATTTCACCAATGTACGCTCTCATTCTTAATATGCTCTTGATATTTACATTGTTGTTATGATGCAGGAGGCTAGACAGTTCTTCCAGAAACCTGAGGTGACTGATTCTGCTGAGATTGAACTGAAGTGGTCGGACCCAAATGAAGAAGAGTTGGTACGATTTATGTGCGAGGAAAAACAGTTTAGGTAAGTGCATTGTGCAGCAGTTTATGTGACAAAATCATCTTACGAATGATATTTCTGGTCCCACACTTGTCACTGCTGTTGTGCCTTTGAGCCAGGGCACTTTATTCCAAATTTGCCTCAGTTGGCAGCTGCTGCAGAAATGGGTAAAGCCATATTGACTCTAGCCATTGTAAAGCTGACATCAAATTAAAATTAAAATTAAATGGATCCTTTAATTAAATGCTTACAGTGAAGATAGAATAAAGAATGGCATAAAGAAACTGACAAAAACAAGACATGGTTCCACACAAGGACGACTTGACAATTTCTTTACTGTGTTGGCAACATCGTCAACCAAACGCAAGGTACTTTATAAATAAGATATTTTATTTTGTAATTAAAACAGTTATTGTGAAGTAAGTTCAACATTATTAATGTTACAATCTTACAATGTTACACATCCATCAAGTTTGTGTGTTTAGATGCATACATATTATCAGGAGTGAATAATATAGACTATATTATACGCTCCTGATATTATAACATGGACACTGACGTGACAATACACGTGCACAGATTCACGCACACATACATATGATCAGAAGTAGATAATAGGGAAGGAGTGCGACTTCAACAAACAAGGGAAATTCGTCATTTACTAGCCTTAGAATACCTAGATTTACTACGCTTAACTCAACCAACTTGAGCTCAAATCGTACACAGTACATTCGCCTAGCATCGTGCGAAATCGTTTCCTCGTATACACCCGCAATCCGGAGATACAGACTAAAACGTACGACACGATTTTCCATTATGTTGCCAGCAAACTGAATGTGTAAACCGCTAAGTAAAGGACTAAGGCTAAGGCTAGTAAATGACGAATTTCCCTTGTTTATTGAAGTCACACTCCTTCTCTATTATCTACTCCTGATATGATGAATGTACATATACTGATATATATATATGTTCATGTACATGTGTGTACTTGCATGTGTGCGTGTTTGGTTTGTAGGCTGCAATGGATAATGTTTAATCAAGCTATTGTTTTATAATCCCCAGCGTGAAGAGACGAAGCCTTCACAAAAGAAGGGAAAGACTGCCGGTGGGAAGTTTAAGAAACCTAAATAAATTTCAAATGTATTCTATATACTAATGTATTTGCAATACTAATGAATAAATGCCTGTATAATATCTGGCTAACTATATATACATGTTTATGGTAAATAGTTGTGTCTGGCCAAGTAATGTGAACATGCAGTATTGGCAGTCAAGTATAGCTGCTTAGATCATTCTAGGCTGTAAAAACAATCATTGCAAATTAATGCATCTGTAGAAATATTAGGGCTGGCTTGATTATGATATATGCTCAATTGAACCAATGTGTCATTAGAGGCTTAAATTAATAAATTGCAGAGAAGGTGATAGTCTTATATTGAAATAGATAATAAGAATAAAGCCAGTTTATATTTTTACTAAACATGGAGTATCATTTTTTTTATTTCTTAACCGTATCTTCAGAATCCAATCTCATTAAAAAGCGGTCCATGTTGAATCGATACAATTAAGTGTACATCATTATTTTATGCACCTATTGATGATACTCAGTAACCCTAATTAATTAATAATATGCAACTGAATAATTAAAAATGATCAAGCTGGTGTTGTTTCTAGATACAGTACTATAACTGAACTCAGCATAATTGAGGCCTGCTGTATGAAATTAATTAGGAAGCTTCACTGTATACCATTTCTATTTACATTTAAAACAATCTAGTAGCTACATACATGCAACATGTTCTTCATTGACTCATCCTTGAAATCTGGCAGTATTATCGTATCCTGAATTTGTTGCTGTTGATAGTAACATGTGTTAACACTATGTCATAGTTCTCCTTGACTGACTACTACAGGTTACAATAAAATATGGTTTAAAGCATCAACAAAATTTAACAGTACTTCTAATTGTTATAGTGCTGTTTTTCACTAGAATTTTGCCAACGACCCTCTGATTTTGGTCATTCGGCACTAAAAACCTCCGTGACTTGGCCCCTTTAGTCGTAGGATGTATGCTTTTTTGGGTAATTTTTCAGGGATGTTGTAAATAAGGCAAATTTCTCCATTCTAGGCAATGAAAACCCTGGCCAAAACGTTTTGTCATATCAGCTCTTGTACAAATTAAAAAAACAAAAAAACATCACATTTTAGTTAAAGACTGCATCGTGCGTGCACACCTACCTGGAGTACCACAGGAATTCTAACATGACATGTAACACATTGGCGTACACGGATGTTTCCTTTTATCTCGCATGAGAGAAAACGTGCACAACATTTCAGTGAGCAATTACACTTCAGTAGATATTTTACTGACATTTTTTAACTCAATAACTGCCAAGCTTGACAATATTTGCTTGCAGGAAAATGCAAGATGAAAATATTTTTTTTTTAGTTGAGTGCATATATCTCCCGACCTCCCTGAAACTCAGCTCGCAACAGCCCAGGTTGAGAAACAATGCTATATCATTTAAATTGGTGCAGATAGTAGCATATCTTCACAATTTTGTTGCGCTCACAGGGGCATATTACCAAGTGCTGAGATGTGATGCACAATAATTAACATACTAGATCAACCTTCTACAATTCACATGCCTTCCATCTGTGTGAAGCTGACATTTGACTTCACATCTGGTCGGGGCAACTTTAAGGGTCTTGTATTCTTCAGCATATGTCTAGCATATTCACTCTGCAGTAGGCCTGCCTCTCTCAGCCGCATCTCTAACTTGAATCTCGGGTCGGCTGATACCTATGAAGTGTTAATATAGCATTTATCATCCAAAATTTTATATGTTGGAACATAGTTATGACATATCAATTTTATGTTTAGAATGTTTCACTGGTTTAAATGGGTGTTTCGGCATTTATATCAATCAGTTAAACAATGATGCCATTCCAAATCTTCATTAGACTCAAGTTCTTGGATTCAATTTTGATAAAATTAGAGTAAATTTTGTATCACATCATATATTCGCACTATATACTTGTTTATATAAGGTAAAGATAATATCTCTATATTGAAATATATTTCAAAGCTGCTGAATGATTATTGCACCTGACTATCTGTGAAACTGGTGACGGAAAATAGTGGAGTCTGTATTGGTTGTTCATCAGTGGCTCCAAAACCGCGTCTAGCGTCTGAGCAAATGGTTGCGCTGCACACTCGCTGTGAATCTGGTTCAACATGAACTGCAACCTGGATATTAATGGTAAAATGTAAACGTGTTTTTGTCTGCACAAATGAATAAACTAAAGCTTACATTTAATCACGTTTTACACATACCTAATTGGACATATATTTTAACTAGAACTTATATCTTTGCTACAAGACAACAGTTTATTAACCTTTTGACGGATTAATGTTAGTCTTCTTTCTCTCTCTGCCTCTGCTATTCTTCTTTTTTCCTCTAACTCATCCCTCTGTACATGTTTGGCATGAAGCAATTTGTCTCTATAGGCAATTCTTTCCTTGCCAATTTCAGATAGCTTTAAAATGTGCTTTTGGATGTCTTCAAGGTGCCGGCACTGTTCTGCCTGTTCTGCCTGCTTCTCATAATCCTTCCTCTCTTTGTATCTTTGCACCTTAAAGCAAGTCAATCAATTCATTTTAAGAGCGTATGCATATTTAGATAAATCTAATAATGATAGCATTAAATAAAACGAGAAGCTTCCAGCAGACATAAATTTTTTCTATTAGTAGTTATGATTGTAAATTTGTAATTAAGATGAATTTACTTGTGCCATTTATTAGCCTCTCTTGAAACACTCCTACCAGACACCAGATTACGTTTAAAATACCTATATCATATTGATGTAAAAAATACCATCTTTCAATCTAATAAGCAAATATACAAGAATGAAAAACCAGTAACATAATTAAAAAAGTAAACAGTATAAATATGCTGTTCAAGCGATCGATAAGTTGAACTCGTACCCTTTTTTTCTGCTTAGCAGTTTTCCTTCTCTTCATCTCTGCTTGGAACTGTTCATGCCTTGCAGCTTCCTCTCGTGCTTGATTCTCCAATTCCTGCTGGACACGTGTCATTTCTAGCTGTTGTTCTCGCCACAAAGATACCTAAAAGCACAAACACACACACACGCATGCACGCACGCACGCACGTACACACACACACACACACACACACACACACATATATATATATATATATGTCATTCATCGCAAATTTTATCAATTAAGTCATTCATCACTAATTTTGTTCAGCTGCAGGTATTTAGAAGTGCTGGTCCTGTTCATACTCAATTATGGCCAACCTTTGCGTACAGTAGCTGACATTTCATGTGTTGTTTTTCCTTATCCCGTGCGGCATGCGTCTCTTCTTCATTGTGGATCAATGCTTCTGCAAACACAGTCTGTATCTTCTTCAAAAGGTCTACCTTTGACCTATGCCAGCTGGCGAGGACTGCATCACGCTGGGCATGGTATTTCTTTGCGAGCAGCCACTCTTCCTCATGTGCAACCTAGGTAGACACATACACGCTTTCACAGTAGAGAAACACTCATCGTGCTCAACATATTTATAGTCTATGAACAGACTTGTATTTTATATACAAGCCGTGAATAAATATAAGCAATTATACCCGCTTACATACACACACAGTGTTTCATTTTATTTTTCTTACCAGCTCACTGTGTTTCTTGTGTGGAAGCATTCTTTTCAGCATATCTATATAATAAGCTCGTCTGTTGTTTGTCTCGCTAGCTGTGTATATCTCAGCAACTGTCACAAATGTTTCATGATCTTTTATATCCCAGTCACCTCTCCCATTATGCCTGCTACAAAAGAGCACATCCTCAGATGAATTAATCCATTGTATGTTAAATATGATGGAATATATGTTAATATGCATATATATATATATATAAACTGTAATCTAGCAAATAGACTGTTAAAAAACCGTCTATGGCTTATGCACTTTAAATGAATATTTGGCAGACCTTACTCTGTTATCTGTGTAAATCTATATCTCACCTCCGCTGTTCAGTGTATTTAGTTTCCAAAAGCTTCAATCTTTCTGTAAATCGTCCATCTAACAAATTGAACTCGCTTAGAACGGTGGATAGAAGATTTTGATCTGGGTACTCTAACATCATAGCTTCTTCTGGTATACCCTCATGTACTCGTCTCTCTGTCTTGCCAATTTGCCCCTGAATAACTGCTGTAAAAGTAATGTAGCATATGGCAGTGTATGGCTGGCATACATCCCACACAATGTGTATATCTAAGCTCAAGCAGTGTGGAGTATATTATACTATGTTTAAAGTTAATTAATGCAGGTACTACATATAAAGTGAATTTAAATGTATACTTGACTCTAAATAGTTTCAAATAGATTAAAAAAATATTGATCTTTAACCAGTTTGCGATGATCATGGTATATATGTTACCATCGATAGTAATAGAACCGAAATAATTTTAACATCACTAGTCACACATTTTCTTACATCAACCCAGCTAGCATTATTCAAATTGGGCACTGGAAGAGAATTTTAAGCTTTTGAATCTTACCAAGATCAGACTCTAATTTCAGCTGCACCTGGTCCTTACTCAGGTCATGCATAGCCTTGTTCTGGACGTCCATCAGCTGGCTTAGTGCCCATTTAATTTTTGAATGATTTGCCTGTAATGTTTTAACATCTTCCACCTTACTTTTCCTACTACGAAGCCAATCAACTATATTTTCCCTGCAAATACAGAAACAGACATGTTTCCTCCCAGTAAAACATTAATATAGACAATAAAATCCTATACCTAAATCAATATTGAAGTAAAATGATATCTGCTTATTTAGAAGTTTCACAGTAAACACACCGCAATTTGAAGAACGGTTGCACTGCATCAGTTGTAAATGTTTGGACGTCTGCATCAAGTGAAGCCTTGAGTTCACACAACTCCAGAACATTCTCTTCCATGCACAAGCTGTTCAGATCTAGTAGACAGGTTGCCTCTTTCTCTTGAAGCTGTCGATACTCCTGATGCCACAGAAACTTGTGATGTGATAGAAGAGCCTGATGAAAAACTCAATTAAAATTTTATCTATAGTAGCCTAAAAAAAATTTCACACCTATGACATATCCTTCATTTCTGTTCTTAAAAGGCCAACTGTTTTTCACTTTTGTGCATGTATTAAAGAGATATTTACTGGGTTCACCATATAATACGATGCCAGTAATAATAATACGATAACAGTATAATACGATAACTACATGCCAATTAATAAGATCGACACTGTTATAGGAGCTTGCCTGATTATTTCCTGCTATTTTATAAATACAACACCTTCAACAGGCTTGGAAGTTTGGTTTATAAAAACACTCTGAGGAGTAGTTATAAAAATAATCACCTGTTCCTTGCTCTGTTTGGATGTCTCATTTAATCGCGCAATACTCGCAATCTGGTAGCTGCAGTCATCTTTTTTAAGTTTAGCAATGTCTCGCAGTAGGTCATAATTCACAGCACTGTAACGTCGCATGGGTAATCCTTCCAAACATTTGTTCACAAGATTTTCTTCCAAGAAAATATTGAGATATATAATATATTATACAAATGCTTTGATAATAATTTATCAGTTTTCATGCATAATGTCTATGTGAATATACAGTGTATGAATATTACATATATATTAATGTATGTATGATACATAATATAAAATACAAGAATTCTGCAACTTTCATAAGCACGTTTAGAATTTAGTCGGACGATTTGTTAAAAAACATGAAAAAACACATGTACTCACATAAAAGAACTTCAGACGCAATCACCAGTTATCATTTAGTTAATACTATACTCTTACTATATATATATATTTACAATACTGTATTTCCATTAACCCCTCCCCTCCCTCTGCAAGGAAATAATCATCACAGTCAATTTATATTGGACTTTGATCTTTAAAAAAACAAAACAAAACAAAAGCACTTATCTTGAGTGAAGACATCTAATCACTATCAAAATCATGTAAATCAAATCCATTGAATTCATTATTAGGCCTAACATTAATACTCTACATCCTGACAAATTACATAGATCTATCTGCATAACATATTTATTGAATTTTTTTTTAATGTAAACTGGTAAAGGTAAAATTGGTCACTAATACAAGATACTTACCAGACTTACTATCAATGAAGGCTGCTGCACTGCTGAACAAAGGTTTCAACTCCCTGTTCCTCATGTTTGATGCAGTGAACTAATAAAAACCAATAATTATATATTAGTACACATTCTCATATCAAGTGACTTATGTATGAGTGACATATTTTCATTAACATGTTCTTGCATACTCTAGGTACGCACACATAATGCAACCAACACACTTAATTGTGGCACAGTAAAGGGCTGCATAAGATAGGTAAATTAAGCTCGTTCCAGTTAATCCTACTTTCGGATCCTGGGTTGTAATAATAAGCTTAGGAATAGAAAATGAAGAGGATTTGGTTAGGTTGAGATAAAGGGTTAGATTTAATTTTAGTAGGTAGGGTTAGATTACTATTAGAGATATGAGGCCAAGTCTCACATTGGAACCCCAGCATTAATTGTATCCCCCGCAACGAAGTCGGCGGGGATACTATGGTTTCATGTCTGTACAGCCGCCGCTCGGTCCGCCGCAGAGATTATCCTTTTTGCTCTATAACTCGACCTCTAATTAACCTAGCATGACCAAACTTGGTCTACTTACACATCTTGGGGAGAAGGTGTGTCGCGTACTGAAACCAGGTCACTGCGACCTTTATTTGACCTTTACATTGATTATATTTCCCTTCAGCTCTATAACTCGGCACCTCATTGACCTAGCGCTACCAAACTTGGTATACTTACACATTTTGGGGAGAAGGTGCGCAGCATACCAAAACCAGGTCACTACGACCTTTATTTGACCTTTACCTTGACCTTGATCATATTTCCTTTCTGCTCTCTAACTCGGGCCCCTAATTGACCTAGCGCTACCAAAACCAGGTCACTACGACCTTTATTTGACCTTTACCTTGACCTTGATCATATTTCCCTTCCACTCTATAACTCGGCCCCTAATTGACCTAGCGCGACCAAACTTGGTATACTTACACATCTTGGGGAGAAGGTGCGCAGCGTACGAAAACCAGGTCACTACGACCTTTAACTGACCTTTACCTTGATCATATTTCCCTTCCGTTCTATAACTCGGCCCCTAATTGACCTAGCGCTACCAAACTTGGTATACTTACACATCTTGGGGAGAAGGTGTCTCGCGTACCAAAACCAGGTCACTACGACCTTTATTTGACCTTTACCTTGATCATATTTCCCTTCTGCTCTATAACTCGGCCCCTAATTGACCTAGCGCTACCAAACTTGGTACATACTTACACATCTTGGAGAGAATGTGTGTCGCGTACCAAAACCAGGTCACTGCGGCTTTTATTTGACCTTGACCTTTATCATATTTCTCTTCTGCTCTATAACTCGGCCCCTAATTGACCTAGCGCGACCAAACTTAATTGGTATACTTACACATCTTGGGCAGGTGTGTCGCGTACCAAAACCCCTAAGGCAACCAATTTTAACATACTTGCACATCTCAGGCCTGCAGATGAGTTGTGTAACAATTAAACCTTTGTCTTTGTGACTTATTTAATTTTACCTACCTTCTACGTCCTTACAGAGATATTTCATTCATACTAGATCACGGGGATACATGTAGTTGGCGACAACTGCCCTTTCTAGTTATAATTAACACTATATTAGTCCATCACTTACCCTAATCATATCCCTAATCCAACTTTAACCCTACAATAATCCTATGCCTATCATTTAAACCTAGCATCCTAAAATAAGATGAAACTACTATATGGTGGTAAACTGGTAATATAATTATGATTTATGTACTAGGGTCCCATCGAACTCAAAAGTAGGAGTGAGCAGCTTGTAGTAATTAGTGCGAGTCACTGGCTCAGAGTCAGACACATATATCCTCAGCAGCAGTAGCAGCACCCTATTTCTAATTGTAAATTAACTTTTAAGGCGAATGAAGCCATTAATATTAACCATAGCCCTATCTGTGTTGTGTGCCCCTTCACTCTTCAACATGAAATTTCCCAACTCCTGTTGAGAAGAAAAGAGCGCGCTACACAATTAGATCTACGGCTGTGGTTATATTTATACTAGTCAACTTCAACTAGGCCCAAAGGCATCGGAAGCAATAAAATAGTGCCGCGGCTTTGGTGATAGGGCGAGCCCCGGGGAGGCGAAGCCACCCTAGGGGCGTCTGGGGGCATGCCCTCCCCCTGTGAAAATTTTGAAATCTACAAGGCAAATGGTGGGCTCTGGTGCATTCTGAGCATTGTGATTTAGCACAAAAAAAGTGTGTTTCACTGTAATTTAAAAAAAATACATGATGATTTGAAAGATTTGTTGGTTAACATAGAATTAAAATATTCAATAATGACCAAAAACTCCAAATTTATTTTTCTCACTTTAACAGTGGAATAATCTTTGGTAAAACTTCCTGAAATACATTCCCATTCAAGACATGCATACAATTGTACTGGTGCTCACAAACGAACTGTTAATATTCGTCATGAAACGCGCTGACCCCAGGCAAAGCATGCTCCCTCAATATAACGCAATGGCATGCTGCCTGCATAGAATCAGGAGTAGACGGGGAGCAGAGGAATGTGTGCCAGAGTTCTGGATCATAAAATTTTATAGCTACAGGTGACCTGCAGGGGCGTGTACAGGATTTGGACCAGGGGGGGGGGGTCTAACCGTAAGACATACTTGCGAGCACGCGAAAGGGGGCCCTCCCACAGAAAAATTTTGAAATTAGGCCCCCTCAGATGCGTTTTCTGCGCGAGCAGGGGGGGGTCCAGACCCCCTGGACCCCCCCCATGTACACGCCCCTGACCTGACCTCATCTGACCCTGGTCTCCGCTTATAGGGGCCTAGATTACACGTATATACATGATATATGTATCGGCCAAAAGACGGTATAAATTATTGAAAGATTTTGATTACGGAAAATTTATGGCTTGAAAAAAGTGCCGCGGCGGTCGCCGCGGCAGTTCCGACGCCCTTGACTAGGCCTGAACCAGCGAGACAATACGGATATAGGACAATACACAAACCCTGGGGGAGAGCACTCCCTACAAAATAGGGTAGGTATGTGCCACCTGAGAGATGGAATTGGGGGTCTCCGGTACTAGGGTTTGCTAGAAACCATGATGCTCCGGAACTGGACATGTTTGCGAGTGTTCCTAAATGCCGGCAGTTTTTAATTTCGCAGTGGCTGGAGGTACGGCAACCGTATCATAATGTCTCGAGGCTACGGGTACGACAGTCCATTTGCGCATGCGTCGCTTTCCCACAAAATAATGCTGTTGGAAATGAATTCACAATTTAATTCACGATTAAGATTTCTTGATGAGCTAGAAAACACTCGGATTTAAAGTATGAAAATGAACATTATTGTGCCAGCTATAGCCTACACCAGTTGGTTGGGATTGGTTGTCAGTTCAGATGCAAAATATTGAAAGCCAAAGGTTATACACCATATAGGTACTATGAAACGCGTACATATAAGATAGCCGAGTCGGTTTATAGTTAGTGTTAGGGTTAGGGTTGGGTTAGGGTTAGGGATAGGGTGACTGTTTGTACTTGTGTGTGGGACTAGCTGCCGTACCCGTAGTCTCGAGACATTAAGATACGGCTGCAGTGCATGCGTAGTGTGACTCGCGTACCCGTAGCATCGAGACATTAATGTCTGCACCCAAGCTAGGTCACACCCCATATATAATATAGCCCTGGACGTTTATTCCTTACGAACTGTCCAGTAATAATAATATAGAAGTAGAAGAAACAAGGGTTAGGGTTAGGAACTGCCGGGCATTTAGGAAATCGAAGACCGTGCCCGGCTACCGGGCATATAGAATGATAGCTCTAGTATTATAGCCCGCTTACATTAACTGCCGCTGGCTGCCAGCGGCTGACAGGCTATAGGCCTAGTACTAGACTAGAGCTAATAGTAATGGAAGTTAATAGTTATTACTATTAGTATTACTATTAGTATTACTAATAATACTACTACTACTACTAGGCCTATATACTACTAGGCCTAGGTTACTACTTGGAAGTTAGATGGTCAATAATGCACCATCGTACTAATTTGTAATTATACTCTCACCTACTTCGGTACAGTCAATTGTCAATTGAATTGAACTTCAAAGAGTAGGCCTATATTCTTTAAAGGTTGTTCGAATATGTTCTCCGTACGCAATGCGTCTGTAGCAACGCGCATACAACGCCAAATCACGGTAGTGACAAAATCAAAACCTAAGCCGTAACTGTGCTGCTCTTGTGTTTAATCACCGATATTATGGAGGTGTTCTTGTGTGTTGTTATATTCGTGTGCGGGAAAATTTGCGTTTTTACGGAGGCTTCTGATGTATGTAGACGTTTACGACAGTTAATGATAATGCGCTCATTTTATTTCAGTGTTTCGTGTAATTCAGAAAAACGTGTTGCATACGTAGCAAAAAATTGGTACAATTTTAATTGATTTGTTGACAATCATAATCATGATATTGATATTGCTATTGCCATTGGTGATATTGATAATGTTGTACAGGCTACAGGCTTATATTAGCCCGGCCAGGCTGTGTGACTAACGTCAATATACATAATACACAGCCTGACATCCATCCATTTGATAATCTTGTACCTCTACAAAAACTGCCGAACAATTACGTATATCTCAAATAAAATAATCTAAGCATTTCTGCCTTGTTTTATATCAAGACAAGTATAAGTTATAACCTTCACCTACTTTATAATACTATTAATATAATAGTATTCCAGCGTTGTTAATGTTATTAAAACTAATACTACTAGTAATACCTCAGTTCGCTGTGCACAGTGTAAATTTCAAGAGCCAAACCAAAATTTCACTTTAACCGCCACGCCAACCACCATGTTTCCACTGCGCATGCGTTTGGATTGGAACGCGGAAAACCTGAAACGACATAACATACCATGGCGTTGCAACTCGCGTTGGCGCGAGCATAAATAAGCTTCATATACTTGTATATATATAAATATTAAAACATTGAAAACCAGGAAACATCAATCTACAACAACTTAATAATTATCATTGCGAAGATATGTACTTGCCTTGTGTTTAGGCCTACGCACTGTGAAAATCAGGTCCATTGCCGATTTCAGTCGCACCGAACATGGCTGACATGGCGGCTGTCTGGTTGTTTTCATCGAATTCATCTCAGAAAATACGGCATAACTCGATAAATAAGTAGCGCCCAGTTATCGCGAGCAAGCCATAGGTTTATAGATTTGTTTGAGCTATTAGTATTACATGTGACGCTAGCTGTGGCGATGTTTGGATACAGAGCCAACTACAAGTTTTTATGGGCAAGAATTTGAGATGGTCTTCTAACCCTAGCAAAGACTGTTTCTTGGAGCTAGGCTTATATATAAAATAGGCTTGTCACACCTATCCGCGATCACGCTAGCGCTCCGACTGCGACCTGGAAAGTATGAAAGTGCGAAGAAAAGTGCAGTACGGTCTCTGAGAACGATTTGGTGACGCAGTGGAAACTGTCAAGGATGGAAGAGGGTCGCCATGAGCTACCTTGAGCGCCAAACCTCGGAGCTTGTTTTGCTTCGGATCAAAATAAGCACAGCGGGTTGGCGCTCTGATAGATCGGTGTAATGACGCAGTACAGTCGCCGTGGCAGCACAAAGCGAACTACATGAGCGTATCGTGGACGTAGCAACAACGCATAGAAGCGACTTGGGGTCGCAGAAATCATCCCTTCCGACTGGTGTGCGACTGCTGTACGCTCATTGGGCTCACAATACGTGCCTCTCCCGTTCTTATTGCACCATTACTGCACTTCCACTATGCTTTATGGGCTTGTTTTCGCTCATTCTACGTCCACTCTGCACTGCCACTGAGACTATGATGCTCGTAATACGTCCAAGGCGTTGTTTCGACATTTGCAATAGGTTCACAGTGCGTTCTTATTACGATCCCACTTCCACTGACCCCCCCCCCCCCCCCCACCACACACACATTTTTAGCTAATCTGACGAAGTCAGATGCAGCTTGTAGGATCACATGATCGTGCGTGCGTGCGTGCGTGCGTGCGTGCGTGCGTGCGTGCGTGCGTCTGTCAACAGTTGGGCACAAATCGAAACGGCTCGACGTACGGATTCGAAAGTCGGGACGTGGGGGGGTAATTCGAAAACGAGATGGG